AATCACTAAACTATGAAAGATGGTTGAGTTTATTTTTTGCACCGGAGCTTTTCAATTTATTATGCCTTTGTTTTTTCCGGCTGGATGGATACTTGATCTGTGAGCCCAGCTCCTGCTGACTGCATGTTAATCAGGCACCAGAAGTCATGCTCATTTCAGCGCATTCCTACCATTTTATTTTGCTGGAAAAGGAACTGATGGGTATTTATGTTTCTGTGCAACAGGCATGTGCGGAGTGGGGGGCTGGGGGCACCTGAGCCACCTGCCTGTTTTGCCCAAACTATTTAATGAGAACTTGTGCATGAGCTTTATAGGTACTGAGTGCCCCTTTTTTAACCTTTGAGCACCGGTCCTTCTAATAATCTCTGCTGTGCAACCTCTGAAAAGTCTTTTGTGTTCCAGTTTAAAGAACAGTGAGGTGTGATCTAACTAACAGCATGGGTAATTGCATGGGGGCAGTGGACAACGGGTTGCCATGGAGGTGGGTCTGCATTAAGGACCCAGATCGGCACTCGGGTACCAGTCGGATCCATCTGGCTCACCTGGCTCTCGTATAGAGATATGCGAGGTAATGACGAGGAAAGAATGGCAACTCTTGGCAGGAACACAGCAGTAATTACAGCATGGAATCCATGCAGAAACAGCACATCTGGATGGCTGAGGTTGATACCGAATATAAAATATCCACAGACAAATTTGCATTTTTAGGATTTTTACAAGACCAGTCAGTAACATGATATTGTTGTATCCATCTTGCTATGCTTTTCTGCCAATATGGCCACTGGTGTGGCGTGAATCTTCGAGATCTTTTGGGCCGGGATGGAGAGACTGAAGGCTGAAGACTTGAGTCACGGGCGACGTGATCGAATGATGTGACAGCCAGCACAGTAGTGGGACCGGGCGAGGCGCTGATGTTTGGGAGAGTGCCCCAAAAAACGATTCCATGGAAGGTCCATCCATCCATCCATCCATCCATTTTCTGAAACTGCTTATCCTATTCAGGGTTGCGGGGGGTCCAGAGCGTACCCCGGAGGCTACGGGTGCAAGGTGGGGAACAACCCAGGACAGGGTGCCAACTGAATGGCAAATGGACATTCTGAGCAAACACTGATGACAAAGGTCATAAAATACATACATTCAAGAAGCCAAAATCTTTTATGAATTTTAATGGTTGATGATTATTGTTTGGTTTATTGAATGCAAGAGTATATTTGTAGTTTCTTCATTATATTTAACCATGCCAAGGTCATGAATTACAGCATATTTGGCATTATGACTGTGTGGTAAAAGTCACCGCAATGCTTATCATGACAAGAGAGAAGGGTGGGGAGGATGCAAAAGAGAATGATTTTGGCCTAATTGTACCCTACATATGTTATGTATATACATTTGGAATTTTCCTGCTATTCTGGATGTTATTGCGCAATCAGACATAAATTATGCATCTCCATCTCTCTCTTTGTCTGCTGTGCTCATTAAATAGGTATACACCTTAGGTTTTAGTGCTTATAACCCTTCAGAGAATCTTCTCTGGGTTACTGCTCACAAAAATACCACAAATTAATATTAATTTGTTACTTTCACATGTCAGGGTAATTTCTTACACACAGAGCTAAATTAAATGATTTAAGAAAGTCCTCCTGGAATTCAGTATTGGTGCATTATAACACTTTATTATCAGAGCTATCGGGCTTCAGTGAACCGCAGGTTTTTAAATTCCTCATCCAGCTACTATTAGGTCCTCAGGCAGTCTAATATATTTGTGTTGAGGATTTGGTACTGTGTTGTTTTGTTATATGTAATTTAACTCTGATAGTTTGAACCGTTGCTTTTGTGAATGGTCTGCGTGTTCCTAATGTTTTATTGTCTCCAGGTAACTAAGACACAAACAAAGGTGTTATAAATATTTTTGTCATTTCGATATGAATATTAATAGACAGTTTAAAAAAATATTTGCCCAAAATGTCTGTCACTATACATGTGGGAGGATGGAATTTGTGAAAAGGAATCCCGCTGGGTCACTAGACACATAAGAGACTCTTAGGGTTAACAAGGGGCAGCCTGGGCTGAAGTGGGTCTCATTCATGCTCGTCTTCAGTGATGTTTCACTTCTGTGTTCATATTGCTCCAGTCTTCTTTTTCAGTAACGTTCAGTAACGTTTCAATTTGATATTTTTTAAGTTATGTAGTTATTGTTTTTGAATAGTCAAACAAATCGGGCAATTTCATTTTTGTAAAACCAACAGAATTAATGGCTTGCCAGTGTCAAAACTGTTAATTATTATTAAGAAATGATTACAGATCCATTTACTAGAATTCATTTCCTTGGTTCAAAGACAAGTTAAAAAGAGAAACTGGAAGTCTGTGCTGAACTTTTGCCTACTGAGGACTAAGTGTTCATTGAATATTTGAGCTAATGAACACAGACTGTGTTATTCATTTAAGGGTGAAGGGAGAGACATTTGCTTATCATTTCAGTGTTAAAGGTACATATTGACTTAACGAAAATCCACTTTAACATGATAGAAAAATTAAAGCAAGTCCTGAACTAACACGTTTGATTAAATGTAATTTGCATTGTGCACTTTATTCAATCAACTGCTCAATCAGAGCAAAAAGGTTTATTAATTACCAACCTGACTGGAACATAAATCAGCATACCCAGAGGCCAATGTGCTCTTGAGCTTTGAAATCCCAGCAATAAACGGTTCAATTATTTTTGAACGCCATTGTCTTTGGTGGCTTTGCCCTACCCCATGAAGTTGCCTCTGACCCACCACCAGTCGTCATATTATTAACGAAGCCTTTTTTTTTTTTTTTTGCTATGAATAAAGTGATAAATTGAAATGTGTCTGCACTGCTTACTTCTTTAAAGGATGCTGGTATTCATTTCAGTATTAATAACCATATTTTTCAAAGCAGAGCTTACTGGTATTTGTGAAATTGCAACAAATACTAGTTTATTGAGGGATAGAAATTTGGCTCTAACTAGACAGTGAGCTAGAGGGGTAACAGTAAAGGCTCTGAGGTTGAACAGGGTATTGTTTTCTGTTCTCCCAAGAGCTAAGCTCTATGTATACAACAGGGAAAACAATATGAAGACATTTGTTGTACTGTAATGATTTCTTTAGGATAGAAACTCTGATGCTCAGTGTTTATGGGCCAGTGTTTATGGTTGCTAGGGATGTCTGGTTTTATTCTGGCTTGATCATTCGAGTTTCTGTGCATGATCTCCTCTCTCTGGGCCTGCAAACGGTGTGACATGGCAATTCTCCCAGTAACCCAGCAAAAATGTGAACCAATGCACCAGCGGGTAGATCTTAAACTTTTCAAAAAACCTGTCTGTTTTGACATGCAAAGTTAGTCCTGTGATTTATATCATCAAATGGTCCTGTGGGCGGGGCTGTATGTCTTTTATGTGGTCCAGCTCATGGGTGGGGCCTACTTGTAACACTTCCTCTTATTGGTTTGCTGCTAACCTTTATGGTCCCTGGCCTCTCTGCATTTCCCCCCCGCCCCATTTTCTCTCAATCTCTCATTTTCTTTTTCGGTGTCTCTCTTTTTAAATTAAGATTTTCGTAATTAAATTGATAAAAGTCATGCTAACACGCTTCATGGTTCCAGACCTGATTCCAAATGCCACACAGGCACGGAGAGCAGAGGAAATTCTACCTTTGATGTAGCGCTGTCTATTATTAAAAATAATTGGATTTTTTTCCCCCACTCTTTCTTTTACCCTGGACAGGCTCAGTTAATCCTCCTCTCCAGGCTACCACACTTCCAGGGCTTCAGGTCTCTGAATTAAGGCAGTGGCTGGCAGTTCCATGTTTCTTATGGGATCACATGGTACATTTCTAAATATGGATTGAGTTGCACAGTGCTCACGTGGAAGGGGTCAGAGTTCATAGCTGAGGTTGCAGTTCCTGTCAGGAGTCAGGGTGGGAGAACAGCCTTCAGTCTTCCGTAGTTCATTCAAGTTTAAAATCCGGTCCTAAATCAAAAGGCAGGCCAGTCGACATGGCAGGTAAAGCACTGTCCCAAAGGTATTTGGAAAAATTCAAGCTGCAAAAAAAAAACCTTTATGAAAAAGGCAGTGGGTGGTTGATGTTCGAGGAGGGGTCACCAATGCATTAGTTGTCATCGCCTGTGTCTTACTACATATCAGTAAAGATAATAATTGATTCTTTATTGATCCCCATGGGGAAGTTCTTTTTATGCCTCCCCCCCAACTTGCTCTCTGTAGGTTGGAGTAAGCTGGCAAAAGGCAGCACCCACAACAGCACTCAGGGTGCTGGGGGTTAAGGACCTTGCTCAACGACCTGCACATATGCTGAGGCTGATCTTGACTTGCTGACCTTCTGATCGCAGGCACTGCAGCTTAGCCCACTGAGCCACACACTGCCCCCCCAATCTGTTTTCTTGAGCACAGACCCTGATGACTGACCCCATATCCATTTGTAGCCCTTTACATGACCTAGTGCCCATCTGGATATGTTTTGCCTTCTGCTGTTCATTACCCAGAATGCCAAATCGACATTATTGCCCCCAGCTTTTTTTTAGGGGAGTCAGACATATAATAAGAGATGCATCTGCATTCAAGGATTCCAGTCATTGTTATTGTGATTTGGAAGATGGACAGGTAGGCTGGCTTTGCTCTGCGTGAATCGAGGCGGAAGCGGATGCTGGTTCTTCCCTGGAGATGTTGCAGTACTGGCAGCCTGCTTTCCCGCCCAGCTCCCTTGTAATGCATTAGAGAGCTTTGCTTCTAGATTTCCAGTCTGATGCTATTTTGGGAAAAGATTTGTAACCATAACATGATTGCATAAAACAGCCAGCGTCTCTACCTGACAAAAGGACTGACAGCATAATTAATCTGTTTAACTCTTGACTGATGAATCACATCGTCAGTCCAGCATCGCACCATCCAAACTGCTCTTGTCTGTAGAGCATGATGAGGGCGCCTGTGCGTGTGTGTGACCTGACTCTCGCCTATCTTCCAGGTACATCCAAGGCGCATCATCGCCTAAAGACATGGTCATCATCGTCGACGTGTAAGTGTCCCGACAGCTTCTTGGTAAAGGAACTGCCAAATATGTTTCCACTAGGCATTCCACTGCACACACACACTTGTATACACACACACACACGACAATATTAACACTTAACCAGCCATAAACTAAACTAAAGTAACCAAACAAAATATAAGACTTTTGACATTTTTAGGTTTTTGATTGCAATCACAGGTTTTTAGAAATGAGGCACCTCTTGTGGGGAGTGAAAAAAATGGTCCCCAAAACGTCAAAATAGGTTTTTATCACATTGTGGGGACACACACATATACAACACATGTGCAAAAACTGCTGTCATTGTTATGGGTTAATGAAAATAAATCTTTTTCTCAACTTTCCATGCTATTGGACAAGGTCAATCATCTTCCCACTGTTTTAGTGACACCTTTTGGTAAAATTTGAATTAGACATATCAAAGCTTTTTGACATTTATTAAAGTTTTAAATAATTTAGCCCTGTTTTTGGGGTCATTTTGGGAATGCACATGCTTCTTCATTGAAGTTGTGATTAATTAATATTTCAACAATGACTTATAAGAGACAAAAGCTTTAGTTGGGGCATGATTGACATCCACTGAGCTGTGGGTCTGTAGCACTTTACCAAGAGATAGGAAGTGGCATGGCCCCATCTGCAGGTGTCACAATGTTTGAAACAGAAGATGTCAGCCATGGAATGCTCTTCATATCTACAGGAGTGGCAGCGTCAGCGGACTTACTCTCAAACTGATGAAGACGTCAGTGATGGAGATGCTGGACACTTTATCGGACGATGACTACGTGAACGTGGCCAGGGTGAGTGGCCAGGTGGCATCACAGTCCACCGGTGGATGGTCGTTACTGCGGTGGGGCTGGTATGGTCCAGCTCTTTGGGAGCATATCTGTGTGTCTGCTTGATCCGTATGGCACCATGCAGGCGGGAGCAAGTGAAACAGTAGTGATACTGGATAGATATAGGAGTGTGGCGTAGAGGCCCGATAACAGCAGGCAAATTACAGGCGCGCTGATTCTGCCCTGCCATTAGCACATTGGACGGGGACTCAGCGTCACTTTCTCATTGGCCGAGGCATTCCTGGTCCCACTTTAAGGGGTAATAATGGCACTTTAAACAAAACAATTGGGAATAGTCTGTCCTTTTTAATTTTATTCCACACTAATGGAAGATGAGCTGCTGCTACTAAGGCAAAATCGATTTGTGTCCCTCTCATTTTCTCCCATTTTTTCTTTTTCCCTCCATTATCCTTTCATTCCCTTTTCTTTGTGTCGTCTGTCATCCCAATACTCAAATCAGTTTCAGTTTCAAAAAAGGCTGGAGGCAGTTGTGGGGGGGTGGGGGTAGTGGGAATAATGTAAGTACATTTTCAGTAGTATATATTTTGCAGTATGATTATTTTTAAAATATATTTGGTTTAGTAGCCATAAGATAGATTTGTCATTTTATATTCAACATAAGGACAAGTTTACTGTCACTTTCTGGCTGTCTGTCAGCATTCCTGTTCCTATTCTGCCTGTCTGTCAGTATTCCTGTTCCTGTTCTGCCTGTCTGTCAGCATTCCTGTTCCTGTTCCCTTTGCCTGTCATTAAATATGTGCCTGGAGCACAGACCAATTTCTCTATTTGGGGGAGGCGCACATAGATGCCCCCCCCATCTGTGTATGTCCTCACCTCATCGCCCACCTGGTGAGTTGAGAGGATAAAGGGCAAACCCTGTTTGCAGCGACAGCTCTGGGCTCCCTGGACAGACATCAGTATATCTTAGACTGCCTGGTATAAGTGGCTGTCACAGACATATTCTGATTTCCACAACTGTGTTTTGCTGTAATTCCCGAAGGATGCGAGCGATCTTGTTAGGCTGCCGAGGCTGAGGAATGCTCGTTTTGAAGGGAGTGGATCGCGAGAAGCTGCAGTCATGTTTGATCACAGACACCCCCCTCCCCGCGCCTTCCCTCCGTCTGCTGTCTCATCACTCCCCTCTCCTCGCCCCCGCCCCGTTCAGCTGCCATCTCCCGTTGCTCACCTCTCACTGAACCTCACGTTTGACGTTAAGGCATTGGTGCGTGGGGGGGAGCGGGTGCATGGGGTAAATGCACATGCACGTTGTGAGTGCGGAGGGGGTGGGACAACTGCTGGCAGAAGAGACCCAACTGTATGCTGGTAATCTGCTCTAATCCCTCCCATTTAGCCAGTGTATTCCCCTAAATCTTGGCTATAAATGAAGAGGACAAATACAGTAATCTTGGGAATACCGAGACCTATGTCCAGGGGGAAAAAAAACATTAAATGTATGGACAAGGACAGGTGGAGTTCCGTTGATGCCAGTGTGTTTCTGTGCGTGTTTTGTGGCGCCACCAGAGCCCCGCTCTCTGTGCCCCCCACCCCCCACCGGAGCCCGGTGAGGACATTAAGCACACATGACAGCCGGGTCCATGGGGACATCTCGCGTTCTTACCCCAACTGCTTTTTAAATACTTTATACGCTTGTTGTATGGAGTGGTTCTTAGCTGTGAGCTTGGATTGCCAAAAGAGAGGGTCACAGCAAGAAAATGAGATATGATACTGGTGTGTAGTACTGGTTACCACATACCTGTGTACGTGGGGGGAATAGAGTACAGCAGTCAGGATGTAAGAACAAAGACCTGTGGCATACTAGACTGTAAAATAAATGACAGAATCACATGTTTGAAGCAGACATGCTGAAAATGGAAACATAAATATATTGAGATCCTGGGGAAATTTTTGGAATGGGCTGTTTGGCAGAAATGAAGTGTATCGAGATGGGCGGGTATAAGGTCAGACATTCAAAATAATAAAGGACACACGCAATCACACACTCCACATGGCCGCCAGTCATATATATATATACTGGAATACACACACACACACACTGGCACTCCTAATGGCCACAGTCACACAAATGCACTGGATATACAGGAATACACACACACACACTGGCACTCCTAATGGCCACAGTCACACAAATGCACTGGATATACAGGAATACACACACACACACTGGCACTCCTAATGGCCACAGTCACACAAATGCACTGGATATACAGGAATACACACACACACACACACTGGCACTCC